TTGATATGGAAGCATCCTCAGGTAGTGTAAATTCAATTTTGTTCAAATGATGACCCCCGAGGGTAGGATGGGGCCCAATAAGGGGATCGAAAGTTTTACATAGGAACATATAGAAAAAAATTTCTTCTCAAGAACAGAGAAGCTATGTTTAGTCATATTGATATGGAAGCATCCTCAGGTAGTGTAGATTCAAGTTTGTTCAAATGATGACCCGTGGGATAGGGAGGAGCCACAATGGGGTATCAAATTTTTACAGAGGAATATATGGGAATTTTTTTTTAAAATCTACACAAGTACAACTAAGCCATTTGTTAAAACAAATTATATATTGACATGGACGCACCATACTGAACTGATTTGTGCTTTTGCCTTGCCAATGTGCTCAGGTGAGCGATGTGGCCCATGGGCCTCTTGTTTCAATTTTCGTATGATAATGGAAAATAATATTTTTTTGAATTAAAACAAAAAAAATTAATTTTATATTGTCAATCACCTATGAAAAGGGCATTTAAAGGGTGTTAGATATTGGTGGTCGCACAAGGCAATTATTTCACTAAAAACAAAAATATTGTTAACAGCGTTTTGTTTATTTTGGGTTTATAATGATACTCTACATAAAAAATTTATATACCAATAAAGACTACGCAATCTCGCGCACTTACCAGTGAAAATTCATCAAAATGACATCATAAATGGCAATTATATGACGTTAATTATCAAAAAACTCACCGTTAAATATTATCAAAAATGGCGACTTCTGCGGATAATGCAGTGCACCGAATTATTATTCAATACTGCGTTGAGTGAGGTATGACCCCTATACAGACTAAAAAGGAGATGGAAACTATAGAAAGACACAAACACGTGTTTAGGACTTTGGTGTACACATGGCACAAAAGATTCAAGAAAGGTTGGACTGGTGATTCAATGAAAGAGGCGCGGGGAAGACCATCAAAAAGTGATGACAAATTGAAGAGTCGGGTTTTGGACGTTATCCGGGAACACCGACGTTTAACTGTTCGTGAAGTCGGTGACATGATCGGAGTAGGGAAATCATCTGTTCAGAGAATTCTCTCTGATCTATCGATGACAAGAGTATGTGCGAGATGGGTACCTCAGCTACTAACTGAAGATCAAATGCAGTGCAGACTTTCTTCGTCAAACGAATTTTTAAAAAAAGATGACCAATTTCTAAACAAAATCATTACCATGGACGAAACCTGGCTGCATTATTTCGAGCCTGAAGGGAAGCGTCAGTCAAGTGTTTGGAAAACTCCCAGCACGCCACCTCCCAAAAAAGCTAAAGCTGTTAAATCCATGGATAAAGTCATGTTCATGTTCTTTATGGACAGCCAAGGCATCATTTTATCCCATGCCGTCCCAAATGGAACAACAGTAAATGCTGGATATTACTCTAAGCTTATTATATAAAATACTATTTCATGAAAACAATATATTAAAAGAGATTTTCAAGAATGGGGAGGGGGGGGGGGGGGCAGTAGTTTTAAAAGAGTTTAAGATTGTTTAAAATAAAAATTAAATGATGAAGTGTTTTATGAAAGAAAATTATATCTTTCTTTTTAAAGGTCACTGGAAATCAGTAAGCAAAAATCTTAATCATAAATATTATTTATTAAGGTTGTCCGCCGTGATTTTCTCCAAGCTTTGCGGAAAAAAGACCGGTATTGGCAAACAACACGGAAGAGTTGATTTATCATCAAGACAATGCTCCAAGTCACAAGGCAGAGGAAACAGAACTGGAATTAGACCTCTTGGGATTTCGGAGACTCAAACATCCGCCCTACTCGCCAGACCTCGCTCCCCTGGATTTTGCGTACTTTCCTGCCTTGAAAGGACATTTGCGAGGACAGAGATTTCAAAATGTGACCGAAATTCGTCGTGAAGTGTCCAAATTCAATAGAGCACTTGGACAAGAGTGGTTCAGAAATGTGTTTAATGCATGGGTAAAACGGCACGAGAAATGTCTATCACATTGTGGGCGCTATTTTGAAAAGGAATAAATGTGACGTTCATTTCATGTATAAAGACTACGAACGCCGTCATGACGTTGTCGCCGTTGCGCCGACAGCACTTATGTTAGATTCATTTTAATGGCAGAAAAAAATATTTATGGAGATATTTCATTAAAACTTTTATGTTATTTTCAATAAATGTTGATTATGATCTGTGCCAATTTTTAACTTTATAGTATTAGTGAAACGAAAAATATTTAAAAAGTTCGCGTTTTTCTGGGACAACCGTTGTACTTTCCTAGGTCATTTAAAAAAAATCTCTTCTTACCAAATTTAAGAGGGGTCCGTTGTTTTTGGAGGGAGGGGGAGGAGGTTGAACCATGCAGGGATTCTAAAGTCATTTTTCGTTACTTTGCTTTGAGTTTTTTATCTCTAGCATGTCTAGAGAGGCATACCAAAACCACATTCTTATTGAACTATGTAGGTTATGCTGCTACAAAAGAATAAACTTGTTGGATTTTCATTTAAATATATTAAAAATTCATTTTCATATTTTCTTTCCGTTTTCCAATCCGTGTTTTAGCAACACCCCACTACGATGTTATCTCCCTTATTAAAAAGCTACTTCATTGTCAAAGTTAACAAGCTTCTGTTTGATTTCTTCCGTAAATTGACAGAATAAATAAAAACATTATTGTGTAGTGCCAGTACAATTCCCTGTTAACAACGACGAGTGTAAGGAGTAAATTTATCCGATGAGTCAATAAAGTAAAAGGGAAGAAAATTTGTACAAATATTTAGGACAAATTGTTTCTCTGTGTTGTTGGGGTGAAGGGGGGTGGAAGGCACCCTCTTTACCACCCACCCTCTCTAGATCTATGCTATGTATGTTTAACAAAAAGCAATCAGTTTAGTGTATACTTAATTATGAAATAACCCAAATCATAACTTCTGAAGAAGCTGTATCACAAAAAAGTGATGTATTGCATTGCATGAAAACAACAAATGGCCTTTATTAATCCGAATGTCGATTATCCGAATAATCCAATTGTGATGTCATATCTCTAAAAATAGTATGCATATGAGGGTTAAACTTTGTCTTACTAATTTTGGACATTTAAGGTACAATATTAAGTAAAAATGTCATTTTTGAAAAATTCCTCATTTGGACCCAAAATCTCATGTCTGGTCACATAATATATGCTGTTCATATTTAACCTTGATTATCAAGAAAGAGTTGATTTATTCTTGTTTATTCTCATATGAAGATTATTGTACAAAAGAAAAGCATAGGGATATATAAAATAGAAAGCCATACATGATTGATTGTTTGTTGTTTAATGTCCCTCTCGAGAATTTTTCATTCATATGGAGACGCCACCACTTGCCGGTGGAGGGCTACAAATTTTGACCTATACTTGGCACTTAGGGCCATTGACCAGTGAGGGATCTTTTTCGTGCCAGCACCTACTGCAACACGGTGGATAGTGCGGATCCAGGATATTTTTTCCGGGGAAGGGGGGTTACACCCCAGTCCAAAAATAAGCGTTTAATTAATGTGTACTTTTCCCATCAACTTCACAGGGGTCCATCGTGTTTTTTTTGGGAGGGAGGTCCAAGGTCATTTTTTCTTTTATTTACTTTACTATGTACACGTACATGTAATAACTCCGCAAATTTCAGGGGTCCGAACCCCATCCGGAACCCCCTCTAGATCCACATATGCCTGTAGTTGTAAGAAGCGTGTCCTCTATTATTTCCTTTATGCCAGTGATAGTTGTCTAGAACACAGATGTGTACATAATTATTCTCTTTCTGCCCCCCCCCCCCCCCCTCCACCTGTTTTAAAACACCATTGTCTGTTTCATCATAAATGATAAAAAAGAGAGTTTTGTCTTTGGTGAATAAGCTTTAAAAATTAGATTTGAACGATTAATGAGGCATTCAGATATACTTGGGCTGTGTCTCCATTGACCACCATATGTAGTTCTTAGAGGGGAGGGGGGTAATGAATAAATTACATTGTTATGTATTTTTTTAATGAGTTATAAACTGTGTGATAAAGAATACTGATTCCTGTCTGATTTATATATGTGTGAAGTAAATGATTTGATACATTAAGATTTTTTATAATAATAAATAATAATAAAGATAATAAAAAATAACGTTTTCCGTTCCGCGTTCTGTTCCGTTTTCTTTTCTGCGTTTAAGCAACACCCAGTAGTGACGGGCCAATTGTCGCCGACAATCGAATGTCAGTTGTTATGAGCTCTTCGATACTACTAATCAATTACAAAATAAATGTTGCGGACATTGCTGACAAAAATTAATATCATAATACTTTTAATTTTATTACCAAATCCAAGTGCAAAGAGTTTTAAAGTAGTGATAATGTTTAAAATATCAAAGGTATCCATGCCATGTTGATGTTTTTACCGCCATGATTGAATACAGGGTCAGACTAATAACAGAAAACGGACAATATAATGAGGTTTTACTATACACAGGAAAACCCTTTAGTACAGACAATCTGTAAACGTAATTATAATGAGGATTACAAGTCCAATTTCTGGATAACTACTTCAAAACTTGGCAACCATTTCAAATTGACGTGACAATCATCAAATTTGCCTGGCGACTTAAAATTGGCATTCATGAATAAATTGTTTTGAATTAGGAGCCAGTTGGTGCCTAAAATTTAGAGATTACTTTAGAGGCCTGTAATAGGGAATCAAAGTTTGATGTTGGGATAAAATGGAGAATTTGTTAAAATTCTTCATCCCAAACAAGACCATGGTGACTCAGGTGAGTGTTAAGGCTCATAGGTCTCTTGTTCTAATTGATACTTAAGACTGAACTTCTTAGGGGCAGAAAATTGAACATTTTAAAAACAGGAATTTGGTGTAAGCATGTTCACTGTTAACATTTTCCTGTACATCGATAGAATGTACTCAAGTGTCATTTTCAGCAAATGAGAACTATATACCTGTTTTTTTTAACTGCATGGTTATTCTTCCCTTCTTGCAGTTGCTAAGTTCAAACTAGATGTCACAGAACAAGAAGCCTATGCAAAGCTCAGGGAGGAGTTCATTAAAAACAAGCATGTCACAGATTTAAGAGTTGTTGATTTACTGGTTGTAAAGGTAAGATAAATTATTTTGTATTTTTTGTCTCGAACTCAAACTCACAAAGTATTTAGCTCACCTAAGCAGAAAGCACAAGTATGCTTTTCTGGTCACATTTTGTCCGTCATCCATCTGTGCAACCATTTGTAAACACTTCACTATTCGACTTCTCCAAAACCACTGGGCAAATTTCAATCAAACTTGCCTCAAACCATCCTTGGATGAAGGGAATTCAAGTTTGTTCAAATGAAGGGCCACACACTTTTCAAGGGGAGGTAATTAAGAATTAGAGAAAATTTGGTGGTATCTTTTAAAAATCTCCTTCTCAAGAACTACTGGACCAAACAAGTTGAAACTTATATTAAACCTTCTTTACATAGTGTAGATTCAAGTTTGTTCAAATCATGACCCCAGGGAATAGGGTATTGCAATATTCGGGGCATATTCAATAAATATTGCGATATGAGCCTCGTGGGATAGAAATTGACTTTATTGTTTGCAATGTCATAATGAGAAAGAAACAAATAAAGATAAAAAGGAATTCCCGTTATTTTTTATACATATTGGTTTTCACTTAAGGACATACGCAACGTACCTTACCTACTGATAATTTTTCAAGATATTCTTAATTTAAGATTATAGTGTCATCAGATGTTCGTATACAAAAAATCAGAATGCATTACCAGGGGTTTTGAAAAGATATCAATTGATGAAAATTCTTGTATTATTCAAAGAAAAATATACAAAAATTACTAAACATATATTCTAGATGTTTTGTTTATCCAAACTTGTTTTAGAAGAAGTGTACAACAGCGTATATAGACATTAAAATGTAGCACACAGTTCCTTTAAGTATTGGAACTCTTCAACTCCTGGGAAAAAGACAATAAAGTTCAAACTATGTTGCGTATGTCTTAGACATCATCAAATTTATGCACTTCATAGAGTTTTAAAAAAAACAACTGAATATATGCTAACAAAAAAAAACAAATTTTAAATTTATTTCCCTTTGTAGAGCCTTTTACTTTTCAGCTCACCTGAGCTGAAAGCTCAAGTGAGCTTTTCTGATCACCCATTGTCCGTCGTCCGTCCGTCTGTAAACTTTTCACATTTTCAAGCTCTTCTCAAGAACCACTGGGCCAATTTTAACCAAACTTGATACAAAGCATCCTTAGGTGAAGGAGAGTTTAAATTGTTAAAATGACGGGCTAAGCCCCCTTCTAAGGGGAGATAATCAAGAAAAGACAAAAATAGGGTGGGGTCATTAAAAAATCTTCTCAAGAACCACTGGGCCAATTTTAACCAAACTTGGTACAAAGCATCCTTGGGTGAAGGGGAGTTTAAATTATTAAAATGATGGGCCAAGCCCCCTTCCAAGGGGAGATAATCAAAAAAAAGACAAAAATATGGTGGGGTCATTAAAAAATCTTCTCAAGAATAGGGAATCCAAGTTTTACATTGAAATATGTTGAAAAAATCTTTAGAAATCTTCTTCTCAAGAACCACTGGGCCAGAGAAGCTGAAACTTATGTGGAAGCATTCTTGGGAATTGTAGATTCTAAATTGTTCAAATCATGACCCCGGGAGTAGGGCAGGGCCACAATAGGGAATCCAAGTTTTACTTTGAAATATGTAGAAAAAATCTTTAGAAATCTTCTTCTCAAGGACCACTGGGCCAGAAAAGCTGAAACTTATGTGGAAGCCTCCTGGGAAGGTCTACTTTCTAAATTATTCAAGTCATGACCCCCGGGGTTAGGGCGGGGCCACAATAGGGAATCCAAGTTTTACATTGAAATACGTAGAAAAAAATCTTTAAAAATCATCTTCTCAAGATCCACTGGGCCAGATAAGCCTTCAAAGTGTGTCAACCAAAAAGTAGGTCACTGTGACCTATTTTTGCAATTTCTTGGTTTAGTTGAAATATTTCAGATACTTATTGGCTTGGAATTATCAAACTTTGTCAGTGGATGCATCTTGGATACCTGGAGTATGTCAACCAAAAGGTACGTAGGTCATTGTGACCTACTTTAGGAATTTTGATGGCCTTTTCAGTACTTGGCTTAGAATCATCAAATTATGTCAGTTGATGCATCTTGAGTCCTCAGAGTGTATCAACCAAAAAGTAGGTCACAGTGACTTACTAAATTTGATTGCTATTTCAGATACTAATTAGCTTAGAATCATCAAATTTTGTCAGTTGATGCATCTTGAGTCCTTGGAGTGTATCAACCAAACAGTAAGTCACTGTGACCTACTTTTGCAACTTTATGGCTAAATTTAAATATTTCAGATACTAATTGGCTTAGAATTATCAAACTTTGTCAGTTGTTGCCATGCTGACCTACTTTTGGAATTTCAAGGCTTTATCCTTATATATAGGTTACCAAGAGGCTTAAAACAGATGAGATTATAGGTTGTACAATTTCCAGAAGAGTGAGGCCTCTTCTTGAATTTTATGGCTAATCTTTTTCAAAACGTTTAAGGTCATTATTTCAGAAACTGAGAGTTTAGAATCATCAACCCTTGTAAGTTGATGCATCTTGGGGCCCTAAAATATATTTATTAAAAAGTAGGTCATAGTGACCTACTTTCTGAATTTTGCAGGCATTCTTTTTGAAATTGTGTTAGAGGCATATTTTGGACATTTTAAGACCGAAGATCATCAAACTTTGTCAGTTGATGGTTCTTTGGTTCTCAGAGTCTTTTAACCGAAATGTGAGTCATGATGACCTAGTTTTGGAATTTCATGTTTTTATCTAAATATACAGGATACTTAGAGGATTCATATAGAAGTGATAGGTTGTATAAATCATCGGAAGAGTGATTCAAGGCCCTTGGGCCTCTTGTTAGGACACCTGAGTCACTCAGGTGTCCTATTGCTATCTGTTTTCGTCCGTCACCGTGCGGGTGTGCGTCATGCATAAACTTTTCACATTTTTGACTTCTTCTCAAGAACCACTTGGCCAATTTCAACCAAACTTGCCACAAAGTATCCTTGGGTAAAGATGATTCAGGTTTGTTCAAATGAAGGGCCATACCTTTTTCCAAGGGGAGATAATTAAGAATTGGTGAAAAATTAATGGCATCTTTTAAAAATCTTCTTCTCAAGAACCACTGGACCAGGAAAGATGAAACTTATATGGAAACATCCTCAGGTAGTGTAGACTCAAATTTGTTAAAATCATAACCCCCAGGGGTAGGGTGGGGCCACAATGGGCAATCAAAGTTTTGCATAGGAATACATAGCAAAAATCTTTAAAAATCTTCTTCTCCAGAACCATTGGACCAAGAAAGCTGAAACTTACATGGAATCAGCTTTAGGTAATGTAGACTCAAGTTTGTTAAAATCATAAGCCCCAGGGGTAGGGTGGGGCAACAATGGGCGATCAAAGTTTTACATAGGAATACATTCGAAAAATCTTGAAAAATCTAATTCCCCAGAACCACTAGGCCAAGAAAGACGAAACTTATGTGGAAACATCCTCAGGTAGTGTAGATTCAAGTTTGTTAAACTCATGATCCCCAGGGGTAGGGTGCTGCCACAATGGACAGTGAATATTTTACATTGGAATACATAGAAAAAATCTTGAAAAAATTCTTTTCTCAAGAACAGCAAAGCCATGATTGGTTATATTTACATGGAACCATCCTCAGGTAGTACAGACTCAATTTTGTTTAAGGACGTTCGATCCTGAGCTTTTGAGCAGATTTTGGTCTGGAGCTTTATTTCTAAAATTTTTAAGTTCTAACTTTAAATCTGGATTCTACAATGCAAATTATACTATATCCAATGAAAAAAACGCGATTAAATTCCATTCAAATAGGATTAAGCCAGGAACTATATTTTGTGGCGGAAGATTTTTTAGAAGAAAATGATCATTTTTTCCCTTTTGAAATATATACAGTACTGTTAAGTTTAGATTCCTATTTTCCATGCTGGTTGCACACAGAGCTATTTTGTGCATTGAAATGTTTAATGGTGGTTCTAAAATATTAAATCAGTTTTTGTGAATTCTATCATCATATTGTGACAAATATAGGAAATATACTCTGAAACTCCAGGAAAAAATTGAGCTAATTTTATCACAAAATTAACAGTTTTTAGTAATATCTAAAAAATAACATCATAGACCTCCACTTTTGATTTTCTTTTCTGAATATATAAGATAACTCTGATCAATCTACTTAAATTCAGCAAAAGTTTAAGACTTTAAAATATTTTTCTTGCTTGTTAAATTTTTAATGCTCGAAAAATGACATTTTGTGAGTGCAGAAAGGTCAAATAATTTTGATTATGCGAAGCAATTTGAAAATTTTTCTTTGTCACAATTTTAATGTGTCTTTTTTAAGAGAGAATAATAGCATACTTTGTCCCATGATTTATTTGGATAAAAAATATTGGAGGGAAAACGTCGAAGATGTTATTTTTTATTAAGACACAAATTCAGTGCAAAAAGGTCATTTTAAATGTACTGTAGCGCCAAAAGAAGCATATTGACCCCCATTTTTTGTTTTGATTTTTAATTAAGCTATGTGTGTACAAGCTAAAAATATACTTGACAAAAAAAGTTTTAAGACTTTAAATATCAGGATCCAACGTCGTTAAATCATGACTCTAGAGATAGGGTGGGGCCACAATGGACGATCAAAGATTTACATATGAATAGTATTATACATAGGAAAAATCTTTAACAGTCTTCTCAAGAGTAGAAAAGCCATGTTTTGTCTTATTTATATGGAAGCATCCTTGGGTAACGTTAATTCAAATTGTTCAAATCATGACCCATTGGGGTAGGGAGGGGACAAAAGGTTAACAAAGTTTTAGTTAGGAATATATAGGAAAGATCAATTAAAAAAGCATGATAAGTCATTTTATTACAGAAATATCTTCAGGTACTGTAGATCACTAAATTTTTGCGACACCTTATTTTCGCAAGGTATTCTTTGACTCTGTATTAGCGAGAGAGAATATTCACGAATTGTAGTTATTGCTCTAATTAATCTTTAGGAGTACTGAT